AGTCATCCTGCCTGGCACCAGCTCTCAAACCTCCCCCTTCTTCATTTCATGAACCTGTGAACGTTGTAGCTTTCCCTTAGCAGGCAAGTCATTCTTTGGCTTGTCCTCACAGCAGCTTTGGGAAATGTATGCTAACGTGCCAAGGTTGGTCCCTGGGTGCTTCCCAAACAGTGAAGACACAACTGTTTATCAGTTTCTGCCTCCTCACTGGCCTCACCTCCTGACCTCCGGGCCATGCTCTGCTCCTCTGCTTCTTTCCATGTCTAGACTTGACAAACACAGATACATGGGACTGGAGCCATGCTGTAGCCTTCAACACCTATCCATCGTTCTGTCTATATGTACTTAAAAAGAGGTTTGACCAAGCAATGGAATTAATGTAATTTAGAAAAAGGGCCAAAGAAATAAGTATGTTTGTTGCATTGATACAGCTTTTTATTTTTAGTCGTTCCAGCAGCATTCTGTTGGTCGGTTCACCACTTTGATCCAGCCAGAAATATCTTGACAACTATTGGATGGATTGGCAGGAATAAGTTGTACTAGATAAGTTTATAAGTTGAGCTGTCTGACTGGGGAGTACTGAACATATGACTGGATAAATGAGACTTGGATTATACTGCATGACTTGTGTGAGAGTTTATAAATGGATGTTTCAATACAATTGTTAAACTGTTGTTAAACATGGACCCCTTTTACTTCAGTTCATTCACTGTGGAGGTATGCAAGTAGATTGATTACAAATTCAACGTAACATGGATAGAGTAACTGATATACAAATGGTCATTTGGGGGGGTGAAGTATTCTTGTTTTTACCATTTTGTAACCATGTTTGAAATAAGTGTTTTCACTTTAATATGTCATCAGTTGAATTGGTGTGTGCACAGATCCATAAATAAATCAAATGGAAAAGAAAAAAAACAAAACAAACATGACCACAAGGACTGTATACATGGTGTGTGCACGATGGCTGCACATAAACACCATCAGCAGTAAACAATTACACTGTACATCAGGGCTTTAACAATTACACTGTACCACTTAACTGCTTCAATGTAGCAGTCGTGAGATAAGTGCCTTGCTCAAACACACTGCAGCAGTAGTTGACAAAGGGAGATTCTGTGCCTACATCTTCAGAGCTGGCCAGGACACTTAAATTTCCATGCTATGCTCTCCCTCCAAAGATACATCCTTAGACATCCATGAAAATGCATTCATAGCAAGCTGTAGTGTTTTTAGTGTCACTACAAGCACCCAGATGTTATGTACTGGATGTATCTCTACCTAAGCTCCTCTCCCACTTTACAAACAGACCCATGGGACAACCACAGCACTTTTTCCATCTTTCCTCCTACCAGTGTTGCAAAACTTCTATACCATCGCCATGCTCTGAAATCACTCATAATTTATCCATTGATGGAGTTGTACCACTGGTCTGATGTCACTCAAAATCTCCCTCAAAGCCCATTCCCTGTAACCATGTTACAGGCAGAATACATTCTTCCACTGCTCCCTCATTGTCCACTGCATTTCCTCCTAAAGCTGGGGTCCCGATTCAATTTTTGCATCGATCTTGTGCAAAAAAAGGGCAGAGAAATCAGATCAGAGGAGAGTACTAAAAGCTTTCCCCTAAATCAATCAAAATACATGAATAAGTTACTGGTGCCTTAGTATGTTTTAGGGGATATTACCTTAGTTATGCCATTTCAAATATGAAATCAAAAGTACCATAATGTATAATAAAACTTACCATTATTTTCAGTCAAATGCAGCCTGCGCAAAAGTAACGACCTAATGGCTTGCTGCAGTGCCGTGCATTAAACAATGGAGAAACTGTGTCTAAATAAATGTTTGGTTTCGATTAATAGACTCATTTATTCTCGCTCAGTACACTGGTTGAGAAAACTAGTACCCATACATGGGCTCCTGTGTAAGGGTGTGTGATGAGTCGTCCCGCAGCAGCCGACTGGCTCCAGGTCCAACTGTGACAAGGCCCGGGTAAATTCCTCACCCCCGTGCAAAAGTACTTAGACTTGTCATGGCCAACTTTGACAGACGACTTTTTGAGAGTAAAGAGATATGCATTTTACAGCTCGCAGCCTCTGCAGCGCTGCAGGGTTAAGAATTCATGTGCGTATGTGTTGGAACAGAGATGTATGTCTGCCAAAACTGGATGTCCATTCAAAAAAATGAAAGGGAGCTGCCGGCCAGGGATGCTTCAGCTGTAGTTACCTGGTAAATCTAGAAAGCTAGAGATCCACTTTTTTACATGTACATTAGTCACTATGTGTCATCCAATCCTTAGTTCAACCTTGACAGCATGTCTCATTTGGTGACAACTTCCGATCCACCAACGGACAACAGACAGAATTAACTTGCAGATTAAATGTTTGTGACTAGTATTGATTTATAGATTTGAACAAAAGTGAGCCTTGTGCGTGCATGTGTGTGTGTGTGTGTGTCAGTGAGGGAGTGTTCTGATGGCCTGCATTAAAAAGAGTAATAACCTCACAGATGGCGAGGGGCTGGTCCAGAGCAGGCTATGTGATGGAGAACAATCGTTGAGGCTTGATTGCTCAAGGAGCACAAGGCAGACCTGACAGGGGGAGGGGTACCAGTATATGTGTGTGGGGTGTGTGTATGTGTGAAGTGGGAGGAGGGGGTTGTTTAAGTTTAACTAGGCCACTGCTACCCATTACAAGGCTGACAATGATGTGGTTTGTCGCGCGCACGGAGTAGATCAAATCAAATTTCATATGCTGCTCCCGGGTTTCATCTATTTGATTCATCATCACCTCAAGTATGTGGAAATCATTTGTATTCTTCCACAGCAGCACATTCATTCCTCCCTGTGGAGAGATGATTCAGTATTATATGGATAGGTGCAAAAGTCAGCCAGTGTAAAAGGACAATAAATCCACCTGTCACTTATGCAAAGTGATGTAAATGGGGTCCCTGATTAAGACACAGAGTCATTTAAAAAACAGGGACTGGCAGAACCTTGACACATGCACTCTCTCACACACACACACACACACACACACACACACACACACACACACACACAATTTCAATCTCACACTCAAAGCACTCACACACACACACACACACACACACACATACGCTTTGATAGCGCTATGTATCTCAAGCCCACTCTCTCTCTCTCTCACACACACACTAAAATCCCCCGCCGCCCTGTGCCTGCCACTAGAGCAGTTTATCAAGTAATTATTGTTTGATTACAGCGTTTCATTATCTGCACTGATTGAGTCACAACCGACGGCAAAGGTCAAGCGCCATTAACGCGCTGCTCCCGAAACATATTTCCGCGCCGGCCGCGTGTTTGCCCTCCCTCTCCTCTGAAAGGGCTAATTGCAAATGCATTTGTTTGAGGAAGAGGAGAGGAGACCACCCGCTCCAGTCTCCCCCAAGTCCCACTGAGACGGAATATCAATGCTGCCCAAAGCATTCGCACATACATATACACACACACACACACACACACACACATAGGAAAAAACATGCACATGGGAGCAGTTTGGGACCATATCCAATCATACTTAACAACTGATACCCATCAAACACAGATCCAACAGCTTTCATAAAACCATTTTGGACAATAAGCGGGTGATTGACTCCATCTGATTTTACATATTAATAATGAGTCCTGATGGCCAAGATCTGGTCAGCATTTACCAACATGTGATGTACCCTGTGGGGGAAAACTAGAGCCTTAAAAACTCTAAGCCTCATAAACTCTGTTTATGTTGTTGTCTTTATTCTGTCATTGTGTCCCTGTCGAGTGAAAACCATCTCTGAATTATGAATTTCTCAAATTATCTATCTTCCTTTATAATTTGATGACAGTGATTTAAACAAAATAAACCATTAAAAAATTCTTTCAAAAAATGTGTTGTAACAAAAGCTGAAGAGTGTATTTCTTAGCTCATGAAAAGTTAATGATTTTGAAGAAACAGATCTACATACAGGGTTCTTCTGCCACTGGGGCTTAAACTGAATTAAATGTTCTCCTCTATCTTCTTACTTTTTGTTTGCCATTTAATTATGTTCTAAATTATCTGTTTTTTTACTTTATTCAGCATGTCAGAACATTTTATTTGGGTGAATACATATTCTTTTAGAAAATGTTTCCATGGGGGCGTCGGTGGGGGCTTAGTGGTAGAGCAGGCGCCCCCCATGTACAAGGCTGTTGCCGCAGCAGCCCAGGTTCGACTCCAGCCTGACTGTCAACTTGCAAGACAAAAAGACTAAGGGGCCTATTTTTGTAGTGGTGATCTGACCTTGTAATTCGCTTTTCCTGCACCATGAAGAGACCTCTCAGAACCATCTGAGATCTGTTTCTAACAGGACATCATTCTGCTGCTCATCAAATGATTTTGTCAACAAGAGCAATCTAAATACTTGGCCCACATGTAGAGCAATAACAGAGTAATAAACCATGGATCTTTATTCAGCTTCACCTAGCCCTTTTGCAGTTTGCGCTGCAGCACATTCATGAAGGTGTGCTTGGAGATGTCCACACAATGTGCTTAACCAAACCTTGCTGCTTTGCATGTTACTGCTAATAGGGCCCTAAGAGTCTAAAGCCACTTTAGCAGCTCTATGAGGTTGTAATACTCACTGAGCAGAAAACCACACTGCTAGATGAGGAGATCACCAACATTCACAAAGATCATGCATGTCTGTATCAGACTGCATGAAGATGCCAAAAAATATGACAACTTCATGGGGGCACTACAGGAAAAGTCAGGGAATAACTAAAGTCAGCAGGATTCATCCTCTGGGGACCATGAAAGGTCTAAATATCATGCTGATCCATTAAACAGTGGTTGACATTTCCATACCAGGAGCCACACTGCCTAGTGGCTAAAAACACTTGATATCATGGCAGAAATGACAGAAAGTAGCACTTAATCTGAGAGTAGCATAGTGTTGCAGACATTAGTAGTGTGAATGCATATGTGTGTAAAACAGCTCCATACCTGGGTGGGAAAGAGATCTCCAGTTCATGTAGCCGATCCTTGAACACAGACAGCTCTTTGTCGTACTCTAAAAGCTGGGGAAAGAAAACAAAAATGTTAATGAGGGGAGAGAGACATTTAAATGATTATTATTTATTACAATTTTGATCAAGGGAAAGTTAACTGAGCCTGAATGCTCTTTTCCAGCTCTGCCCTTCTTTGCAAGTTATTTGGTACAAACACTTTCCACTGAGCAGTTAGAGGTCCTTTTGAGCAGGTTTGTGGTTATGAATATGGTCCAAACAGTGTGAATTTAGACTCCAGACTCTAAATTTGTCTCCCAAACAAACAGACACATGCCAAGATAATTCAAGGACAATTTGAAGTCTCCTTTGATTCAGACAGTTCAATCTGATATCTGATATTATCTGAACCTAGAAGTCTCTTCCATCATCAGGCCTCAGTGAGGGGTGGATGAGAATAATACAAACAAGAATTTACAAGAGTAGATATCATCTTTGGATTCATTTAGTTATCTCCATGTTCCCGAAGCTGGTTAAAATTGACAGCAGTTGACCAGTGGTGTGTGTGTGTGTGTGTGTGTGTGTGTGTGTGTGTGTGTGTTACCAGCCCTGTCCTACTGGGGTCTATCTCTCCACACCGACACTGCATCCACACACTCTTCATCAATCATGTCTCCTCACCCAGCTGTACTCACTCACTAGAGTGTACACACACACGTCCCCCAATTTCCCCCCTTTCACAAAACCCATAAATCATTAGTGAAAAGTGCAATTAGCGGCTCCTTGTACACATTAATTATCTGGGAGATGAACAGGTAGCTCGGGCACCTGCATGACTGCCTCCGTGAGAGACTGACAGCGACGTTTCCCAGCAACCCCGCAGGACCTCGCGCTAGCCCCACCCTTTCCTTTCAGACAGGAAGACATGGCGATGAAGCAGAGACATGTTTGTTTAGTGGTAAATTGGGCTATTGTACATGTTTCAAACAGCGGGCTACAATTATGGCCTGATGAAGACCTCATCCTAGATGGTATGAGTCTGACAGCGGTTGTATAGGCAGCTTGACGTTAATGACATTACATTGGTGTATTACATGCAGCAGTATGTTGATGGCTACATGATGAAATGGCAACGGAGATGACGCAGTGCACATGGGTAATATTTGGAAGGACGTCCTCACAAAGTGGGGACATGGGAGGAGGGATATTATTATATCAGCAGAAGGTAACTACAGTCTTCCATCTACACTGACATATTTATGTTGTGCATGTATGACCGTGAATGCATTGTTTGTCTTCACGGCACTGTTGAGAGCACATGTATAAAAAAGCCAAAGTCCAGGATGTGCCTTCACGATGACGCCCTGTGTGTTTGTGTGTATGTGTGATTATGTGTCAGTGGTGTAGAACAGTGGCCATTACTTGCAGGCAGAGGGGCCTCCCAGACGGAGTCTCAGTGGTTCAGGAGGGCAGATGTGCTGCATTCATCAAACTCACACTGCCGGGGTCACAGGAGAGACTCACACACTGTGAATGAGGGATGGCTGAGCAGGGGATGCAACCCCACGCTCCACTGTACAGCCTGTCTCACCATCCAACCATTGATACCTTCCTCTAGTGTGTGTGTGTGCGTGTGCGTGTGTGTGTGCTGCAGCCTGACTGATACTGGATTAATGTCGCCAAAACAAATGCTGATAATTGAGAGTGAAAATAAATCTGATGATTCTCTGTGAAATTTAAACTAAAAAATTAGATAGATGCTAATATCTGCTAAGTCCCAGCCCCTCTTTGTTACTGTTGCTATGCCTGTCAAGCTTTCTGCGATAACAGTGGCAGATTTAACACTTGAAAATATCCAACTTTTTTTTTTTTAAACAATGAATTCCTGATTCGAAAACACAACTGTCACTAGCAGAATTTATTTGCTGCAAGCTGGCCTACGAAGCTAATGTTAGCTTAGTGGACTGCCTAGCAGAGTTTGTTGACATGAGGTCTCCAGTTGACTTTTTAATGTTTCAAACTGACTTGTCTTTAAAGAAGAACTACATACAAGACTCTTAAATATTCACTTCATGGCTACGTGCATGATATTGTTAAAGATTAAGGCTAAATTTATATATGCAAGGCAAAATTCAGCATCCTTATTAGTGATGATTCATGCAGTAGACATGGCAATAAAGAAACAACGTTGTTCTTTTATCGCAGTGTAGAGCTAGTTCGTGGATTAGTTAGTGGATTTGTGGTTGATATAATCAGGAAAAAAATATATGATCTGACTATTTAAGACTATTTCTGAATATTTAATTGTAGCGTAACCCTGCTTGGCTCAGGCCCACAGGAAATGCACCAGGCTTAAGCCAAATTTCGTTGTGGCCAAACAGTGAGTTTATATCTATCACGTGATGCCATGTGGCATTGATGATTTTTTTGGTGATTTTTTTTTCATAAACTTACAGGGTGAAAAGACATCTGTAAATCGGTGGATGCATTTTTTTTTGAGTGTCACAATCTCTGCACAATGACCCACTTCACTATCAGACTATGATCCATTTGGTCCAACGATACAGTGCAGAAGCAGCGTAAAACAATTGGGTAATTTTATATGCGGTAGTTGAACCTTTTTGGCTTCATGCGTCCCTGAACAGCTTTCACAGGAATGAATGGGGCCCAACCTAAAATGCTGTGTCCATTTCTATTTATAGATCCACAGTTTGGCTGCTTAGTTTACATACTGGTACACCTGCAGTGAAATGCTACTGGGTTTGGTTTTTATGTGAGGTAGTGAGCTAGTTAGCTGGACATTCTTTTCACATTTGCTCTTGTACTGTTAGTTTTGGGGAAGGTCAAAAAAGCAACCACCATCCAAACTCTTTATATGGAGTATTACTCTCACTAGCACCATGCGTGGAAGAATCAAAAGCTTGACAGGCCTATCACACCCAGTTTCGGTTGCTAAGCTACGACTGGACTACCGCTGTTGAGCACAAGGGTTTAGCAAGTAGTGAATTATGTATACATTGGCCAATAGTAAGTTTTTACCGCAAACTTTTAAAATTTGCCACAACATTTAACGAGGGGACATTTTGCAGATGGAAAATAAACTTGTCAATGATCTTTTGTGGACAACATTATAATGATGGCATGGATTCTGAATTACCTCAAGCATAGGTTCGGCATTTCTGCACTGAAATGTCTTGTTAATTGTTGGCCTTCCAAAACACAGATACTGATATATATGCGCAACTGATTTATCAGTGTAGCTCTACTGTGAAACATAGCATGGAGATAAAATGTTTTGAGGTTTAAGTTTGTGTAAGAGTATATTGAGCAATGCATGCTCATACTGGTATAACGTAAATGCTGAAATCAATAATTGTTGGCTTTCTATGTGTACACGTTAATCATGTTCACAGGTGTGAGTCTGTTTGTTTGAGTTAAAGCACTTCTGATTATATGTGTGTGACAGTTTAAACAGGGGATGAGCAACATATGGCTGTGTGTATCAACGGAGTGTGTGTCTTAAGTGAATGTTGAGTAATGCATTCAGGTGAATGAAAAGCCCTGCAGCAACAAATTTCACACTACATTTCATTCCAGGTCAATTAAGCATAATGCTCTGCTGCTCTGCCAGGTCAGTGGTTAAAAAAACTGCTTATATTGGTTCAAGGCCTCATGACATTATAGAGCCAGGAGTAGTTTGTCAACCAGAAATGACCTTGGGAGTTGTGTAGGATGTGGTGTGAGATGATGCAGCTCCGGCAATATCACTGAGGGAAAAAGATGAAGAAGTGTCTGGATAAAAACTACCCTGTCATGAGCTCAAATTTCTGACTTTGCTTGGACGATCAGCACACTCTTAAATCAGAGTGGCAGTGATAGTTAAGAGGCAGGAAGTTGAGGGGGGGGGTGAAAAAAAAGGGAATACGAGGTCTTTGGCCCCCAACTGTCCCTCTCACTGTGCTGACCACCTGTAATTGTGCTTTGATTTACGCGTTGTCAAATATCCCCTGTGACAACACCTGCTGCCATTAAAACCCATCAATAAATGTTGGGGTGAGAGGTCATTTAATTTGATTTTTACACCTTGCACTTGGCTTTCATTGCAGGGGCCATATTTTTCCTTCTTTTTATGGGATCTTCATTATTTTGTGTGGAAAAGCGATAAACAGTCACTGGCGGGGGGGTTAGCCGATTGGTGTTGAGAGGGACCAACCCAAACAAAACATAACACGACAGTGCACTGCACCTCTGCACACTCATTTTCATGTTACATCATGAAAAGAAATAAAGACAAAATATCAACGAGAAAAAACAAACACCAACTTCCACCATTTGGACACAATTTTAGCTTTGTTTCCCCACTCAGAAGCTTCGTTAGAAGAACTACACAATGACCGAAAATAGGTTGAAAATAGTCACATAGATGTAATAAAGCCAACTGCACATTTATGCTATCTATTCTACGGCCATGTAAGCAGTCAATTCTTTCCTGAACCATTCAAAACAGCGGCGAGCTAAACAAAGAGACAACCAGGGACAACATCAGTTTATATAAATCCTATAAGGTCAGATTTCATTTAGCAGGGCCTCTGTATTGCCACTTAAGAGCTTTGGCAGGTAAAAAATGAAAAAACTTGAGCGGCATTTGTTCTTTATTCTTTTATGTCCCCTCATGTTGAAAATGTCCCCGGGCTTTTGAGTAATGCCGAGGACTACGCTGCCAGCATGACAAGGAGAGGCAAGCCAGACAGAAAGGTTCATCACTTACTACGGCTAGTACACAAACGCACCCTCCTCTCCTGGTCCCCCATCTGCCGACACCACACTGATAAAGTTACAATAAAGAGATACTGAAACAAAATCAATGGGGACGGAGGAGGGGGACAGCCCCGTGGGTGTGTGCTCCAGGAGAGGAAGAAACTGTGCCGATCTACAGATGCACAAACGTGCACAATACGCATGCATTTATACACACACAAACACACACACACACACACCATGCTCCTCCCATCTCTCCACCGGAGCAAGGCCCCGCGGTGCCCCTTGACGCCACAAGCGCCCGGAAAATTTAATCTTCCCAAATACTCATCAGGGCTCTCCATCGTCCCTCCGTGACAGCGCCGGGGATAATTAATTATACAATTTCGATGGGAATATCGACTAAACAAACCTATTAATCATAGCAAAAGTCAATAGGCATGGACACATTCAATCATGTCCCGGCCAATGATTACTCCTCTCAAAATACAATAATTATTTTCAAGAGCTGCCTCGAATTAAATTTCTGTCAAGCTGGTACAAGTCTTGCAGTTGATGAAGGATGCAATGGATTTTTTTTTTCTTTCCCCTTCCCCAGTGGAGGAGTGTGAGGAGGGACATTTATCCTTTTGGAAAGGTAGTTTGTTTTATAAGGATCATAACATGGTATGTTTAACTAGACCATGACCATCAGATTATCTCTGATGCCCCCATTATGTCATCCATCTTGTCAGGCTTGGTGAGGAGGAGGAGAGGGAGGAGGAAGGCGGGGGCGGGGGGCACCTCAGCCTCCTCCAGCTACTGTTACACACTTACTACACATTTCTGCTGATCAGATTCAATGATTCTCCCATGTCCGACAGTACAATGTGTAAGGTCAATATCTGCCGGCATCCCAGTCTTTCAATTTCCATCTTTGCTTAAACAGCTGAAAGATCCCCCTTCCTGCTGTTCTGGTGAACTACCTTCATCATTAGACCCTGTTTTTTCAGGAACAATAATCATAGAGGAACATTTATTTAGGACAGATTATATCTACCTAAAAAAAAAAATTCCAATTGGTAGGTCAAACAGACAGTCGTGGTCACACAACTGAAATTGTGTGTCTCATTAAGAAATCCATTAAATCATGATGTATTTTGGGTAAGCAATGTATAGAAAAATAGTTTTCCTCCTTAAATTTAAAGAAACCTAACGGGAAGAAGTTGTGGAGTAAATCCCACTACCTTTCAAGAAGGGCTATATCGCGATACACAATATATATCTCAATATTTTGGAATCTCCTCTAAACTACTATTGAAATACTAAACTACTAAATACATTTCTGTTACAATTAAGTTAAACAAAGTACTTTTAGAGTTAAATCAAATACTTTTATAATAAAGCTACATAAATGACTGTTAATGATAAAGTTAAATAGAGTACTGCTAAATAAAGTACTGTTATAATTAAGTTAAATAGTTACTTTTCTTATAACATTAAATAGCAATAATAGTGTGATAATCAAGTTAATCAAAGTGGAACCACTGGTACTGTAATTCTGAAGGACCATCAACCATCAACAGTTAGATGTTAGTGGAAAGTTGAACTGTTGCAGACAATTTATACTGAATATTGGTAATATAGTTATTTTATACATCCCATGTGGATGAACCTGTGATACATCAAGTATAATCAATATCCTCCATAACCAATTGAACCAATAACCAAATCAATAACCCCTACTTCTTAAGATTTTTATGACAACAGTGGCTGCATTCAGTAGACAAGCATAAAGCAGAGCAATGCTGAAAAAGAGCATCTTGGTCCATCCGTTAGTTACTTAAATTTAAGTCTTGACAGATGAAAACACACAGTGACTCAGTCTAATTCAGGGGCATGTAAACACAAGTACAGACAAAGGTAAAAATATCATTTTCATACACAGCAGATGCATGCTATATAAAGAAACGCATGTTAAATCACAAATAAACCACTACAATTTAACAAAACCTCTAATGCACAATTTCCTTAATATCAGCATTTTTTAAAACAATAACAAGATATCACAATACAATTAAGTTAATAAATAAATAATATTAATATAAATAAATAAATTATCATATGGAATTATCACCCAGAACTTTCATTATGTGTTTACAGTATGTGGCCAACAGCATAAATAAACTCTGTGCTACCAGACAGGTAGCTCCACAGTCCATTCTGTTGATGTGTAGGTGCGTGGGAGTGTGTGCGTCCTTCATGGGGTTTTTAACAAGGTCCAACTTTGACTACTTAATGTAATATATAGCCATATAAAAGTGGAAGTGTGCACCAGGTGTTTTTCTCCTGTGGACATTTAACACTCACCTCATCGACACTCAGTCTCATTTAAAAGTTATTCCAAAGACATTTGGCCCCACAGTAGGGACAGAGCGCTGAAGTGATGTGGGGGCATCAACTAAAGCACCTGACTCAGGTCAGCAGCTGCAGCAATGACTTGTTTGCACAAGAGCTTATTTACCTTTACACTGCCCTTTCTGTAACTATCTTACTATCCAAATATGTGAAAAAAATGTAGCTGCAATTAAACTTTTTCATTCTTGTGTGCTCTGTCCCTTTCACGGATGATCAGTTTGAATGGCAGCTGTTGTTACTATACAGTCAAAAATAGAGTTGATAAAGTAAATTAAATTTGTAATAAACATCTGGAAGTGGAGAAATGAGAGAGTAGATGGATATATAAAGGGTTAGGAAGGAGAGGGGTGACTTACTGAGGTCCCATTGTTTTCCCGGAAAACGTCCTGGTTGACATAATTAAAAAGCTTCTTTTCAAGTTGAAGAACAACCTGGATCAGTGGCAAGAGAGTAACGGTGCTCTGATTAATACCAATACTAATGCGAACTGCACTTTGTAATTAGAGCACTAATGAACAGCAGTATGCTGCAGTGGCAGACAGCACTGTTAATTCTACACGTGTCTTACTGATGCATCACACCACATTACACTGCATGTTAACACAACTTGTTCTACCTCAGGTTGAGGTTTATGACATATGTACAACTAGAAAAAGATGGTATTTAAACATTTGATTACAAGTCCAGAAGTACAATTTTCCTTTTTAACATGCAGTGTAGATGCATCATCATATTGCAGCCAAATTAAAGCAGTTCAGTTCAATGGTATTGTCACAATCAGTGGATTTTTACATGCGGGGCAAAGTAAATCATGCAAATCTTACACGTCAAGTTAAACTTTCAAGTGCACATTGTCACCTCTGACCAGCAAGCATTAAATCAGAAGCTATTGTAGCTTACTTTGTGTTCATTATTAATGAGGGTAACTTTAATGAAAATAACTTTTTGTCATATTTGCTGAATTATCACTACATCCATAGAGAAGTATGAGACCGATAATCTGTGGAAAAAATCATGTTCCTCTGCCTCCTAGTGTTTCTAATGGCATTTGCAAGAATCCACTGCTGCTTAAGGAAAACAACCAATCAGAGCCAAGGAGTCTCTAACACAGCTGTCAATCATGTAAATCTCTGCTCATAGCCTGTGGTAAGACTGTCAAACTAGGCAGCGCTGATAAAATATGAATCAAGATTCTGTTACTGCATTGCCTATTTCTTGCCTCATAAGAATCTTCTTCAGTCTTCAGAATCATATTTTAGTGTACTGTTTAGCTGTAAAATGAGAAAGTTTGCTCGACTGTTTCCAACATGGCTACAGCTTACCTACACATTATAGGTTAGAGAGTAAGAAATGAGAACACATAGAAGTGCTCTGAGAGATATTGTGATTGATTAGCACTAGCATGTTCCCTGCTTGCTACTGTGTTCACCAGCTACAGTACGTCACCAACCAGCCTGGCATGCACGTCACAGCTCTCTAGCACTGCTTATTTCCTGCAGGTGAATTTTTTGATGTGACTCAGCCTTATGGCAATTGAGTTTTAACTGAAATTTGACAAAAATGTCTCAGAATGACAACATGATTTAAATTCAGTAATAGATGTCTGTGTAGTTTTAATGAGGTTATGACAAGTCAGTATCGTGACAGGCAGCACTGATGTGGTATAGCTTACCTTTCGGTCATTATCACTTTCTCGGAATATTAGCTTGTCGACTTCATTGGTGTCGGCGGCTCTGACTGTCTGCATGGTGGCAGTGGAACAGAGACTCTGGAAGTGAAAGAGGAAGAGAGTGAGTGATCACAAAGATACACAGATGTTTAACAATGTAAAGACAACATCCTGTTAAGAGTACAAACTGGTTGTGTGTTCATAAGGAACAAGAAGAAAATAGAAACCATTTATGAATTTGTATTTATTTGACTTTGTTGCCCAGATGTTCATACAAAGTGTAGCCTTCCTCACACCATCACACACAGTAGTTTATGATGCTCAGAGAACAAACTATTACTGCAGCCCTCCAACCCAACACCATGCACTACACTGTGATGCATTTGAATGATTTTTAAAGAACCGTCCGACAAACTACCACCTCACTGTCCCTTCTCTTTATCTGGGTCTATGTACTGACCCCATGGACTGTGTGCATGGTTAAATTCCCCTTTGTGGACTCTTTTAACAATTAGTTAAACATTCGACCATCTGTGTTTGAAGACAGTTGAATGAGGTAATCCCTCAGCCAGTGGTTCCCATACTGCACGGCAGAGACTGGGTGACCTGATTGAAATTCAAAGCACAGATTAGATAATCGGGTCAAGCCAATATAGCGAGCAGAAAAAGGCCCTTTAGTTTGAAATGTCACAAATCAGTCCTGCTTCGGCCACGAAGAAACAGCACACCAGATTAGAACAAACACCATGGCCTGAGAGAAAGTGGAACAACTCTCCGCAGTCCCCCCACCCCAACAACTGCCTCAACCCCATTCCTTCATGCTCACTCCTCCGCCCCCCCTCCCCAAAAGCAACTTTCTAAAGCCCTAACAAATCGCTCCATCTTTCACTCATTTAGGCCATCCAAATGCAGGGTCAATATGGTCCCCTGGCAGCCAAATGCTAATGCGCTTAAGTGCGCTTAAGCAGCTTTGTGCAATGAATAGGCCAAAGAAGGAGCTAGTGAGAAGGGCAAGAGATACTTTCCCTGTCAAAAAGTCATTGTAGCCACAACTAGCAAAGACAACCACAGAAAGTCATTTTTGCCAAATTTGATTAGCGCCAACTGCAGCAAATGTGGTCATGTGATGCACGTTTGATAAAATGTTCTTGTAATATCAAATACAAAGTGACAAAAACTACAATATTTCTAGACAGTGTAGCAAAAGCTGAGGTTTGAAATGTTAAAAAGATTTTTTCCCTAAAAGACCCTTTATGTTTTTGGATTTTCCAAGCATCAGGGCTCTTGTAATTCTTCCAAGCAAGCCCCCTTCTGCCGTCCGCTTTGCAAATCCAAAAGTCAGTCAAGCAGAAATCCCTGGCCACTCTGCAGCTAACACTGAGGCCAGGAGCTCACACTGCTTACTTACACAATTAGCATCAATATCCAAAGGGCAGAAATAGCACCTCCATTCATGTTCAAATGATTTTGATAATCCGGTACACGAGGCTTGGATCAAAACATGGTCATCACTACACATGAATATGTCCTCTACATTTGGTACAGCTACATAAGTACATGCAAATGCACATGGATACAAACAGACAGAAGACCATACATCTACCTGGAGAAGAGTGGGATGACATCATTCTCAGGGAGATAATTGAACCTCAGGTTTTGTATTCATGTTAGCCTAGAACTTGTGCCAAGAGTGTCACTGCAGGAAAGACTCAATTAGAAAAAGAAGACTAATTAGATAATGCTGCCGTTTCTTGTGGGGAAAAGTGTCTTTTCCCAGAACAATTACTCTCTAGACTCCATGGTGAATTCAACTATTTTAGCTTCAGGGGAAACTAATGATTCTCACTGCAGGTTTTATATTTGGCCTACTGCAAGAGCGCCAAGAAAGCTGAAGACACATAATTAATTTAAGATGGGTGTTAGATACACTCAGGGGGAGAATATACAAAGAATGGATTGCAGCCACTGATAGCACAATGAATTGCACATCACCTGCGACCTACCTTCTTCATCTCAACGTCCAATTTACAAAAGATATTGCTAATGATAATACGGCACAAACATGCCCATAAAGTTTTGCAACTTCGCACAATTTGCCATTTTTTGTGTCTGGTTGCAATTATACATATGTGTAAGGATAAATGTTGCCTTTGCACCAAGAATACAGTTGGCAGAACAACGACAGAAAGAAAAGGAAAACTGTAGACATGCATGACATGACTGCGAGCTGCAGGTCCTGACCAACAAGCAGAGGCATTCCTCAAAACTTTAAATGTGGCAGAGAGAACCTGCATCCTGGACCTAAGTCATGTCAATGCACTTCAGTTACCACCAACTCTCTGAAGATGCTAAAAATGTCCCTGCAACTGTGTGGCTGTTAGTGCTGATCTTTGTGACTTGAACTGTTTTTGCAATGAGGCTCATTTGCATAAAAAAAGTGTCAATTTTGCACCAAATCTAGGCATATTAGGGATGAGCAACTACACCATTATCTGTGTCTATTCAATCAACTAAATTATCTGTATCCATTTCTGTACTCAGAACTAACCAGATGTTCTTCTTTTAAACCTACAAATTATTATGGGTTAATAAAAAGTTATATATTCATTATTCATCACAAAACTATTTACAGAGCAACCTCAGAATTAAGCTTCAGATCCCTGATCACAATAGTAGAACTTTTTAGCTATCCAAATGAGGATATTCCCTCATCACAAGTAGGGATATTAACATGTTTTATTTGGAAGAAAGACAAGAGCAGCAAGATGTTATTTGCTTGGCAGCGCAGTTAGGAATTCATTTAACCCTCTGCAAGTGCTCTGAGAATGACATGGTTTCTTTTTGTTTTTTTTGTGCAGGTTAAGAGGCCACGGAAGCCGTGCAATCCTATTGTGAATTTGCCCATCAGCGTCTAACTGAAGAGGATAAAGATATTTTCTTCAATTTATATTCTAAACAAGCTAAACCGTATATTATACTACACTGAGCTGGACTGTTGCATAGGGTTAGATGCTGACATGTGGCTGATTGATCCATTCATAAGCTCACTGACCAACCAATCAGTGTGTCAGTGCAGTTGGTGGTGGCTGATTGCACCCGATTGATCACAGCTTCCCTACTGTCATCCTTTGTGAAAAACATCCCCCTCATCCAACACCACACACAGACACACATAACCACGCACACACATCCTCCAAGCCTCAGTCTTCGCTCACCCCAGTGCCTCTGTCATAAGATCTGCCCACCAAACACCAAGATGTGGAAAATGAGAATCCCATGCTGTCACTTAGGACCATATCAATGTGGTGATGTCTCCTTCCTACTGCCAGCAGAGTCCAGGTGCTTATGCAGAAACTCTGAAACAGATCTTTCCCTTCAAAGCTCCTGTCTCCTAAGCACATTACACAGAGACGTACTCTCACTGACCACCCTAAATGATATTATCATAATTCATTTGGCTGCAATTGGCCCCTTATTAAATACATGACAATTAGTCTGGGGGAGGGAGAGGGGAAACCAAGCGATGGGAAAACAGACAGCTGTCAGGAGAAGCAGCTGTAGTCCAGGGGACAGTACGGATGTCTTCACTCCTCTGGGCTCTTTAACTAAATCCTGCAAACTGACTTGGCATCACATCTCTGCATTATGGGTCAGAGGTCAACACTGAGTGTTTGTAGAGGGCCAGAGGCCGGGGGGCTGGGATGAGAGGTTGCCGAGGAAGGCGCTGCCTTTGTGCACCAATGGAGGATAATCTCATGACTGTCGAAGGAGGAAGCGGCTGTTTAAAGGAGCTCTCTATTCCAGCTGCTCTCCTTAGAAGAGAGGTTAAAGCAATCTGTCCCACTTCAAAGACCAAAGACACACACACATTCAAGCCTTCTGTCTCTGGTCCTGCCAGCAGATGGAAATGATCCAATGTGCCCAACTTTAACAGTAAGACACCCACACACAACACTTTCTATTCCTGATAGAGTAAATCACACATAGGTCTTTTTTCATGTAAACATTCAGAAACAGACTACTGGGAAGAGAATCAATAACAGATTATGCTGCAACAATTTCAAAGACAAACTACAGATGCAAATCTTAGATAGTTTGATTTGAAAAACAAAGGCTCACTAATTTCATAAAACAGCTGGGCACTTTAGGTTTGAGCAAATGCAACTCAAACAGGAGGAAATAGTGCATTTGTTGGGGACCATTTCCAGCTGCAAATTAAATCACATTTGGTGCTTTAGTGAGTATTGAGGGCAGCAGGGCAGTGTATATGGGAATCAGTCCAAATAAACTACAGTATGTGTGTTCATGGTAATGAGGGAACATGTGACTCAGTGCAACACTGTGGCTTACTGATGTGTTTTTGTACAACAATGGAGCTCTATGGCAAAATGGAATATGATATATCAGGCTTCAGATACAAAAGCAATACTCTTTCTAGATTTATTTGTACACATGCAACTCTTTTTCGGTACATTATACAGTATATTTAATTACGACGTTTGGTTTTTGGCAGTGGTTTTCAAACAGGCATCCAGGGACACTCTGGGGTCCATGAGGGAGTTCCAGGGGGTCGCCAGAAAAATGGGGAGTTTTTTATTTTCATTATCTAATTAGGTATAGAGGTGGGCCCAATGTGAGTATCAGTCAGAGGGGGGACTCTTCTGATCATAAGTATCACCTCATCCACAGTTATCTGCTCAACTGTAGTTTACAACTAGCTACAGAATTTGGTCTTAATCATATCTAAAAACCAACATCTTCTCAAATGAAGGGAATCTGAGAGCAAAATCTTATCAGAAGAGGGTTCATGACCTAATGTGTATCAGTTTAGTGGTCCTTGGCATTAAAAAGGTTCAGAACCACTGGTTTTTGGTACGTCAGCATTAGCTACCTCAGCTCCAGCTCTTTGAACTATGATCCACATTTGAGGTCCTGTTTGACTTAATATCTAAAGATGTGTTCTAGGTTGACAATTTATGTATTTGCTTTATGACTTTGTCGATATGATGAAGACACAGTTGTGCTGAAACTCTGATACTCTGGTTAGCAGATGTCAGCAAAATTTGTATTTTTAATAGAATAAGAATCACAAGTGTGAA